TCCTGAATTCTTGCCAAGTATATTCATACCCTAACCCGAAAGTGGTGCCATGTTTCTTCAGTTTGATAGGCTTGGTGATTCCTTGGAGGTTCTTGCCGAGCCCTTTGCCAGGTTCATACCCGCTCCAATTCAGTATACTTTCTATCTTGTTATCCCACCACTTATCTTTGTCCACGGCGTTGACTCGCTCAATCTGGTGGTAGGTTTCTCCTCCTAGCTTCCTTCTTCCTTCAATCGCTGGGATGGTTTGGCGACTGTATATGGGGTTACTCCCGTCACCATGAATAATCACCTCTTGGTGATTCCACTCGAATTTCACTGCCTGGTGCAGGGTTGATGCTACAGCTCCAGCGGCGTGGATCCAAGGTCGTCCCAGTAATAAGTTGTATGATGCTGGGATGTCTATTACTTGAAAATCAACATCGAACCAAGTTGGTCCCATTTGCAGACATAAACTGATCTCCCCAATAGTGGACCTTTGGGAGCCATCAAAAGCTTTGACGTTGATAGCCCCATCCTTGATTTCATGCAGACTCTTCCCTAATGTTCTGAGGGTCACCAATGGACAAATGTTGAGGCTGGACCCTCCATCAATCAAAGTCCTGGTGATGAAATAGTCTTCGCATTGCACAGTGATGTGCAACGCTTTGTTGTGGCCTAAACCTTCAGGGGGCAACTCATCCTCGTGGAAAGTGATCTTATGACTCTCCAATATCTGCCCGACCATGTTTGCCATCTCTCCTCCAGTTATGTTACTGGGTACATACGCCTCGCTCAGTATCTTCATCAGGGCATTCTTATGTGTCTCGGAGCTCTGCAGTAGAGCTAGATCTGAGCTGGTGTTTTATTTAATTGATCGACAACTGAGTATTCTTTCGCCTGTATCTTCCGCCAGAGATCATCGGGCCCAGTTTCAATAGGCCGTCCAGAGGCCTGCTTATTTGATTCAGCTAAGTGCTCCGGAGTATAAATTCTGCCGGTTCTGGTCATACCCTGTGCTGCAATTGCTTCCCCAGACCTAGTCTTCCCCTTCCTTCTTGCCTCGGCGGTGTAATCCCAAGGAATGGCCTGTGTATGGAATGGCGTTATGGCTGACATTGCTACAGGAATGGGCACCCTTGTTTTGGGAGGTAATACAGCAACTTCAAATGGTGCAGTGCCTTTGGAGACCCAAACTCCACCTCAATTGGCTCTGCGGTCTTTGTGAATGACGGTGTTTCAAACTCGAGAGGCACGGACATGTTTACTTCAGCATCCCCAGAGGGCTGGATCTGGACTACGATTGGATTCAGTGTGACTGTTGGTTTCTTGGGCTCGTCACCCTCGGCAATTAATCCAATCGACCCCTTGGGATCCCAATCATCTTCCACTTCAATCATATGCACACCACCACCCTTATGATCAGGCAAGGGATTGTTGCGAACATTAGGAGCAGGTTCCTTGGCCACGATGATTTTGTTGTCAATTAGAGCTTGGATTTTGTCTTTCAGAGATCGGCACTCATCAATGGTATGCCCTTTCATGCCGGAATGGTATGCACAGGTTTTGTTTGGATTGACCCATTGGGAAGGATTTTTTGGAGTTATGGCAGGGATTGGGGTGACGTAACCGGCTGCTTTGAGTCTTTCATATAGCTGGTCGATTGGTTCGGCGATGGCGGTGTATTGCTTGGGAGGTCTACGGTCGAAATTAGGGCGTGGCCTGGGGAAGTTTTGGCGGGCGGGAGGTGATTGGTAGTGAGAAGGCTGAGCATTATAGGCTTGGTAGACGGGTGCGGGTTGGGAATATCTTGGTGAGGTAGGTTGATATGTGGGGGAGGGAGATGATTGGTAAGCAGGTGATGGAATTTGGTAAGAGGGCGGAGGTGCTTGGTAATTGGGGATAGGTTGGTATGTGAGAGGGGGTACCGGGTAGGCTTGGTATTTTACTGGGGACTTGGTTCTCTGTGCAACCATCACGGCACTCACGTCCTTTTTCTTGGACGTGCCACCAGACTGTAGAGCCTTGTTGGTAGCCTGCAATGCCTCCAAATTAGTGACCATACCACTTTTAGTACCTTCCTCAATCCTTTCTCCTAGCTTGATGATGTCGGAGAATTTCTGGCCCTCTATCAGCATTAGCCTCTCATAATACTGTGGATCCTGAGCTCGGACGAAAAATCTGTTCATCTGTTCTTCTTCTAAGGCCGGCCTGACCTTAGCAGCCTCGGATCTCCATCGAGTAGCATACTCGCGAAACGTCTCAGTAGGTTTCTTTTTCTGATTCTGGATGTAAAGACATCTGGTGCATGAATCTGAACCTGTCCATGAAATCGGACGCCATTCCTACCCAGCTTGTCCACTTCTTGGGGTCTTGGCTAATGTACCAAGATAGAGCATCACCTTTCAAACTTCTCATAAAGAGCTTTATGCGAATCTTTTCATCTCTTCCGACTCCGACCAGCTTATCGCAGTATGTCCTCAAATGGACCCTGGGATCTCCTGTGCCATCAAACATTTCGAACTTGGGAGGTTTGTACCCCTCGGGAAGTTCGACGTCTGGCTGAATGCAAAGATCCTCATAATTCAGCCCTTCAATGCCTTTGTTTCCTTCAACACCCTGGACTCGGCTAGTCAGTTTCTTGAGCTCGGCGGCTAGGTTCTTGATGAGGGAGTCTTTGTCGTCAGACTCCGGTGTGTTTGTAATGGGCTGAGTGTATTGTGGTAGGGTTTCCACATAGATGGGAGTGTGGTGGGGACGATCATTTGGTGGTTCAGGGATGAGGAGTGGGGTGTTGTTGTGACATGTGTTGCAATTTTGATGAGTAGCGGGTTGTTTCTGCGGCTTCGGGATGTTCTGTAGAGGTATGGGGTATTGAGCATTGGGAAAGTTGACGTCTGGAGTAGTGAGGGAGAATGACAAGCTCGCCAAGTTTCGGACTTGGTCTAGTTCTTCTTGACATTTCAGTAGCTTTTGTTCGAGCTGGGCGGCACTTTCTTTGGACGCCTGAATACCCTAAGGAACCTCTACCCTTTCAGCTGAGTTCTCCTTTCTGATGTTGCTCAAGTCTTCCATCTTTGCTTTGTTCTTGTTTTTGATAGGACTTGGAAGAGGAGGAGGTGGCGGGCCCTTAGATCTTGTGGAGTAGGATGATGATGCCAGAGTGCACGAACTAACCTTTGGGGAGGGGAATAAAAATAAAAAGAAAAAACAAAAAGGTAACAAGTTAGTATGGATTCCGAGAAAAATATTGCAATATTTAAACACGTAGTATAAGAATATGAATCATGTCCTAAATTGGGTGCCTCGTTGTGCCCGAGTTAGGCCTAGCGACAAGTTAATTTGGAGAACATATAATGCTAAATTCCTCATTTTATTGATAAAAATAAGACGAATCCCCAAAACGACTCCAAAAATGCGAAAAATAAAATTTCACTAATGGCCATTGGCCTTATTACATTTAAAAGTAAAAGAAAAGACTCCTAACTACTTGGTTCCAGAAGGACCTTCCGCAGGTTGAATGCTCTCGTTGATCAAATCTTCCAGCTCGCGTAGGTTCTCCAGTAAAAATCCCTTTGCCATGCGCTCTCCTTCATTTCCCTCAACATTCTGGCAGTCGATGACTCTCTGTCTTACTTTTCCTTCCAATTCCAGCAGACTGTATTCCAGATACTCCAAATTTTCGCTAGCCTTGGTGACCCTCTCTTTCCATTCGTTGATTTGGTCACTTGATGGGATATTCCTCCACCAGGTCAGCAAGAGTGAGGATATACTGACCCATACCGATTCCCGCCTACGTATATAGGATATTTTAAGAAGTGAACATCCTTCTTAGTAGCAGGGTCCGGGGAAAGAATAGGGAAGGTTATTTCACTATATTTTTGACCAGGGACAGGGCCTATCACAAGAATATTTTTTTTATTGGGGCGATAGCTCTGAAAAAGACAAATTGCCAATCTTTTCTTTCATCTCGGGAGAAATACGATCGGGAGGAGCTAATTCAAACCCCTCCGGTAAAATAAGAACAGCCCCCACGTTCAACCCCCCCTTTACCATTAGCAAGAACCTGTTCAGTTGCATATCATAAGGAATTCGAACAACTGCTTCAAATACAGTAATCAGGAAGTACCGCTTGTGGA